ATTTAACACTTCCTTGAGGTAGTTCTAGTGTGAACCTCATTTATAATGAGAAAACACTAAAACACAATGTAGGAGAAGACTGCTCTTTCATTTCCATGCTGCCCAGACCTGAATAAGCACAGAAACTATATTAATTACAACACTTTGGTCTATTAGCTCAGGCTTCTTATTAACTAACTCTTACTAATCTGTGTATCTCCATGAGGCTGTGGTTTGCCAGTGGTAAAGTTCTGGTGTCCTTCTCCTTCGGCAGCTACAAGTCATCTCCTTGACTCCACCTACTCTTTCTCTCTCTATTTCTCTTCCAACTTGGTTATATTCTGTCCTGCCATAGGCTGAAGCAGCTTCTTTATTAACCAATGGTAATAAAACATATTCACAGCATACAGAGGGGAATCCTATATCATCTCCCCTTTTCTGTCTAAATAAAAGGGAAAGTTTTAACTTTAACATAGTAAAATTACATAAAACAGGTATCAATCAAGAATTACAGTTATAATATTTAATCTATTTGTATTTGGCAAATTAAGGAAAATACTCTATCATGTATTCTATCTTTGTGAGTCTAAAATTTTATATCTAATTTATCCTTTAGCATAACTAAGGAAAACTAGAGTTATAGCTATCTAGTCTTCAACTCCACCAAAGACCCCATAAGGATATAATATTACCTAAGTAAACAGGAAGTGCAGTGTAAGCAACTTCCAATGTTCTGGAATTGAAAGAGACATCTCACTTCTTGGACAGTTAACTAAAGTTCTTCTGTAACATTGGGGCATCCATCTTCAGCCTATAGGTCCATTGTATTCAGCAGATTTTTCCATAAAGCAAGAAATTTGAAGATCTGTTCTACCTTATAATGACAAAGTTCATCAGTTGCTTTCTTTTGTGTCCAGCAGTTTCTTTCATGGAACTGGAACTCTGAAGGACTGTCTCACCTTTAGGCAAGTTCAGCTGTCATTTCTGTGGGTCCTGCCTGTCCAGTTCATGTAGAATACCATCAAGCAGTCCAGGCAAGAGGAATTTCTTGCCCAGATGGCTAGCAAACTCCATACGGAGCCTCTTTGTTGTTCAATCCTCTTGAAGTAATTGGTGCTGCCAGAAACAGAGATGCCTCATTATTGAGATACGCCTAAGTTCTTAAAACCCTTTAAATGCCATATCTGTAGGTCTTTGGGGTGCTGAAGATTATCTATCTAACTGAAATATATTTCTATATTTAGAAAACCTAACTAATATAATTAAAGGTTTGGTTATTACAGATGACTATTAATCTGTATTTCTTAACTGTATATTGCAGTTTTAAATGAGCTGCGTAAACACAATACCTTAAACAAGAGCAGAAATACATATACACTGTAGCAAAATTGACCTTAAATTTACATCAATAGACCAAGATCCATATCAATGCAAAGTATTCATATCTCCCTTTAAATGAAAACAAACATCTATAGACACTCATTTTGGGAGTTTGGACATAGTTTTCTCCAAACTGCTTCATGCTGTTCATTGGGTGAAGTATTTTTGGGATTTATGGAGACCTTTCAGGGAGGTCTTGTTTCTTCAAACCCCATTAGCCTAGAAGGAATTCACAGGTTCTCATCTTCTGTGTACACAAAAGTAGAACCTCTTTTCTAAAGCAACATATCCTTAGACTCAAATTTTGAAGTCAAGATACCTTTAGCAGCCCCCAGAAACAAATATCTCTCTGCAGTCAAAAAATTCAAGGAAAACATAAAAATAGGCATCATCCAGATGCTCTGTGTGTCCATCCTTATGTGGCTTAGTTTTCTTTACTCCTTTAATCTATGGCTTTTTACTGCTTTAATCTGTATTCTTTTATATTATTTGTACTCTTTTTAAAGACTTTAATTTTTTTAGAACTGTCTTTACTCTTTTTCCTCTCTCTCCTAAGCTTATATACATTTTTAAACACATTGTGTCTTGTTTAGAGGTCTTTTATGTCTGAATTTGTCCTACTGTGTATCAGAAATCCTTTTTTGACAAGGAGCGTTTTAAGAGGGTAAGCAGTGTGGTTGTGGCAGCCCTGGTTGCTGGCTCCACCTCTCTTGGTCTTTCAATATTGTGGAGGTACATTTACCACGAGCTTTGGGACTTCTGGGTAGGAGCTGTGTTCATCACCTCAATTCTGGGAAGCACCGTGCAGCACATAAACCCTTTTGGTCTGAGTAAAAGCTAAATCTGCCATGTAGCATGCTACATGGCCTGGAAATGTCTCCATGAATGGCGGCAGGAATCCACCATGTTTTCCTGCCTGTGCACGCCTAACATACACAATCCAGGTGCTTTTCCAGGTGTGGGTGATGAGCCACAGGCATGCTCTCAGCTACTTCCCTCCTAACTCCGAGCAGGCATACAAGCACCAAAGTGTGTGGCTGGCCGAGCAGGTTAGCCCCAAACGTATGGGCGCCATTTTGTAGAAGGAGACTGCTCTTTCGTTTCCCGATTGCCCAGACCTGAATAATCACACAGAAACTATATTAATTACATCACTGTTTGGCCTATTAGCTCAGGATTCCTATTAACTAACTCTTACATCTTAAATTAACTCATTTCTATTAATCGGTGTATTGCCACGAGGCTGTGCCTTACCAGTGGTAAGGTTCTGGCATCTGTCTCCTTGAGCACAATGAGACTGATTTACTTGGAACTCCCAGGAAGTGGTAAAGCAGGGCTGTGATCCTAGCAGCTGCTGTCTCTAGGAAAGGAAGCACTACAGTGATGAGCCTTCTTCCACAGCCTCTCATGGATGTGTGTGTTTAATAGCTCTGCCTGTGCTACTTCTGTTTCACGTTAGGGAGTAGAGGAGGAGAGTTGCATTAAACATACAAACAGATATAACTTTCACTGTATATTTTTTGTACTGTAGAAACAACCACAGGGACTGAGAGACAGTTTATTTAGGGAGTGGAACAGCTTTGGGGACAATCGCTGGCATCAAAGAACCCCGCAGCTTCCCTTTCACATATAACCCTTCCCATGTGCTGTGAGTGTGTTCTGGGATGGGTACTGATGACTGTCTTCTGAAGTTAGGAATATAGCCAGTTTCAATGGGACAGTAATTGCCTCTTTGTGCTGTACTTGTACTGTGTTCCATAGTGTCTCAGAGCATGCTATGTTAACATCACACTACTTTGGCTTTCCCACGCTCTCCACAGTCTGTTGTACCTTTACCACTGTACTCATAATCCCCACGTGCTCACTAGGAAGAATTAGTCATAACTTCTTAGGAAGGCCCCGAGTGTTATATGCCCTTTCCAGCAAGAAGATAATTTTATGAAGGGTAAGATGAGGTCTTATTAGAATTATATCAGTTCTTTGAGTTCTGGGACTATTTAATCCTTGCTCATTGTTGATACTTAGAACATTTGTGGAATTAAGTGAGTAGTGATATTGAACATTATATTAGTTTCTTTGGCAAACATTAAATTAGTGCCAAAAGCTATTAAAAAAACAAAAGAAAAAGGATATGAATTAGATTGTTTTTTAATATCACAGCAAGCTTGAACATAGGAACTTGGAGTAGGGAAAATGTGGGTCAGAAGTCAGTGTGTGTAGTTCCTGCTTTTCAGTTTTTGAATGTTCAAAGTTATCCATAGCAGTAGACTGATAAATGCTGAACAAATGCTAATCTTATGTCATAATAGGATAGTAGTTAACTGGACCATTTTTAAGTGTATACATGAGATAGCTATGTGTTTTATGTTTGAAGTTTATCTTGTACTAAGTACTTAAAATGCTTCATTTATCTCTGTAGCCAGACATTTCATTTGCAGTATAACTGATATGATCAAAGTGTCAGGTATTAACCTTGTGACATACTAGTTGATTAAAACTCTAGATCTCAGTATTGGAGAGCTGCCTCAGTGGTTAAGAGCACAGACCACTCTTCCACAGGACCTGGGTTGATTCCCTGCACCCACATGGTGACTCATAACTCTGTAACTCCAGTTCCAGGGTATCTGATGACCACTTCTGGCCTCTGCAGACACCAGGCACACAGTGGAGCACAGACATAATACAGACAAAGCATCCATATACATAAAATAAAAATAATCTTTAGAAAGTCTGAAAGTTTCATTTTCCTGCTGTAAAGTTGAGCAGAAATGGCTTGGCTCACGTCTCTGAGAATGCATTGAACTAATGTGAACAGAGCACCTAGTGTTATACTGCCTCTAGCAGTGCCGCAGAAGGTGTAATGACAACTTCTATATTGTACTCACGTGGTATTTAATACCACGGGTGCCATTACCTTCTTTAGCAATATGTCTTTAGATCAGTAATAGCAATTCTAAAATTCTCTTCAATTTTACTAACAAGAAAGTATCCAGATTTCATCAATTTAGTTTTTTTAAAAGCAGGTTTATAGAGTTTATTTGTATCCATGTGTAGTGAATATAAATAGCCTATCCTCAATGAAGTAAAAATAGTAAGGAAAAATGAAGACTGAAGTATGACTTATATGACATTTATAATACATATGATGTATTTTCTGGAAAATAGAACAGTAAGTCTTTAAAAACAATTACTGTACTTTTATCGTTGCTATGTAAAATGCGTAGAAGAAAGGGAATTTTTTGCAGCAGAACGTAAATTGGATTATGGGTGACTTTTCTCTCCTATTTTCTGAAAACTTCCTAGTTAGTGCTTGAGGCATTAGTAGAATTAAATGAATGGTGATTTCAAAATTATTTCTTAATGCAAATTAGATTACTGTCAGATTTCCTAAAAGAATGGCAGATAAGTTATTCTCCTTGGGCATACTGTAAAGTTGTTACCTTTAAAGTAATTGTGCAGATCCCAAGCGGAAGAAAGTCCTGAGGACAACAGTCCTGCCACTGCCGTCTTAGGAACGCATGTTTGTTATTAGAGTTAATACGGCCTGGATACAGGTTGTAATGAGAATGGACAAGGACCCTCGAAGAAAGTAGGCTTTGACAGGTAAGACTGTGTTCCTAATGTGGCTCTCTTTATTTTAGAATTGATAGATGTCACCTGCACCCTGCTACTTCTCAACCCAGACTTCACCACCGCATGGAATGTGAGGTATGCCATGTTCTTCAGTGGTAAAGTGAAGCTTGCCCAGACTTCTGAAGGCATAGAGCCCTGTGACCTTGTTAGCCACTTGGAAATGAAATATAAACCATTTGTCCATAGCATCCAGTGTTTGCTTCTTACACAAACTCTTTATAATGTCTCCATGACAGTTCTAACGCATGTACTGTGCATCTTATGACTGTCTTTTCTGTAAGCATTTTCCCCTAAAATATAGATTGTCCTGCTGAATTACAATACCCTGTTTGATGCCTGCTTTGTTTTCTTCCCTTATGTGGGGATTACAGGTATTTTGTATAATTGCTTGAGAGCTGAGCTGCACTGGAGTGGAGGGAAGTACATGGGATAAGGATTTAAGGCCCAGGCCTGTGGTCTTCATTTACCCATAACCATTGTGATGCTGTGAGACAGCCACTTAAAATGTCTGACATTCAGGGCTTGGAAGAATGATTGCATTTGATTAGCTCAGACAAGAGCATTTTTTATTGAAGAGTTTTTTTGTTTTGCTTTGTTTTGTTTTGTTTTTCAGTTAAATGACCCAAATGTGTACATGAGCTCCAATCAACTGGTATTCATTAGACTAAAACAGATCCTCTTGAAGGAAAGTAGGGTGCAAATGATAAGGAAAAGTGAAGTCTGTTGAATGTTTTCAATTATTTTAAAATTTCCTATAGGATAGGTCCATACAAATTATAATTCGTTATCGCTAGAGATGATTTAAATCATATTTTGCTTAACTTTCTGTGTTTTAAACAAGGTCACATTATACTGAATTTTGTATTTATAATTGATTTTTAAGAATTTTGGTAACTTTCATCATAGACTTTTTTTGAGATGTCTGTGATTAATAGTGATGGTTCTGATGCTCTGAGCATGTTCCTACGCCTCTCCGGTCATCTGTTGAATTAGGATATTTGATGAACCATATGAAACTGTCTGGTTTCTAGTAAAAGGAACTGGGCTTATTGGAGAAACGACTGAGTCAGAGGCCAAGGCAGGAGTCTGCAAAATGCACCTAGAGCATCTGAGAGCAAGAATGTAAGGAAAGAACCTTTAAAAATAAAATGCAGTCAGAGCCGTTGAAGGGTACAGGGACCAACTGAGAGAACTTCTGGAAGTAGAAACTGGAGTAGCATACTGAAGCCCAAGAAATGGAAGAACACCGCTTACTGGCTTGCTTCCCATGGCTTGCTCAGCCTTTCTTACTCAGGACCAGGATAGCGCAGCCCACAGTAAAAATGATTGAATAGAAAATTAATACTTTTTTTTCTTTTGTTACAGGAAAGAGCTCATCCTTTCTGGCACTTTAAGTCCAATTAAGGATCTACATCTGGGAAAATTGGCCTTAACTAAGTTTCCTAAGAGTCCAGAGACATGGATTCACAGGTATGATTGATAGGTAGTTATATTCCTGTTCAGTATTCAAGATCACAGCTTATGAGGTAGTTTTGTATCTCTGTTCAGTATTCAAGATCACAGCTTATGAAACACTGTTGTGTTTATTCAGAATTTGAATTCTAAAGTCACATTACTTACACTTGATTCTAAGAATGATTAGTTGTTACATGAGTGTCCATGGTACCAAGTTTGAGTTTTCACATTATAAAATGTGAGCAATAATTATACTTGAACCATAGACTTTATAGTTCAGTGCTCCTGAGAGTATGTATACAAGCCCTACTACAGTGCCCTGTACATAGTAATTGCTCAATAACGTCTGTTTTTACCCATCTGTAGCAGTTTCGGAAATTGTATTTAGATGCTTAACTATAATATATAATACATGGTCTTGTGTTCCTAGTTAAAAAAAATTTTTTTTAAACGAAGCTAAGGGTAATTGAGGTGATTGGTGTATGGGCTAAGTGAAAAACTATTAAAATCATAATGCAAGGAGCATTTTTAGGGTGAGAACCTGAGGCAGTGAGAATACAGGTAGGACTCTAGAAATGCTTATTGGAAAGCAGGCTTCTCTGAGATCGCACGTAACTCTGCTCACTTGACTAATGCAGTGGCATAGCCTGCTGCCATGGTGTCATAGGAAGTTACTCTCAGGAAGGTTGTCCTAATTATGCCTCTAACATTTCTCAATTGTGAACATTGCTGGGGTCCTAGGCTGGCTTAAGGTGTCATGACTGTAACCTTGCCTTTGGCTACCATTATAAGTTGGCTTTTAACAAACCATGGTTAGTTGTATTTTCTTCTTTACCAGAAACTGGCATGGATTGCCCCAGAAAGCCGCTGGTATTGAGGTGGTGGTGGGGGCTAATGCCAGTAGGCTGATAATAAATATGCATCTCAGTATTGAGGGTCTGTGATTTAGAAACAGATGTGTTTTGTTGTGAAACTTCATTGTTTAAAAATAAAATGAATTTTCTTACTTTTTTGTACCTTTGGGTTGGAAATTTTTTAGTCTGAAAGTATGTCCATAAAAATATAAACTGATTAGAAATCCTTTCTGTTGCTTTTGACTGAAATGTGTGCAAATTATACAGAGACAGAAGAAGAGTCTGTGACTGAGGGCATTTAAACCTTGATGCTTCAATGTCTTTTCTTTCCTTCTACTTTTTATGCTGTAATATCAAAATTCTGCTTAGTGGAAGCTATCAAAATGAAACTTTGTTTGCAACAAATGCGAATGAGGCATGCACATATAATTTAAGATACGAGTCTGCTCCCTCATGCCATAATTCACAGCCGGCCCTGCGCCTAACCCACCCCCCCACACACATAGACTGGCTCCCTGTAGATTCCCTGGCCAAGGAGATTTTGGGAGTTGTCATTTTGGAGCTAGTGACCTCTTTTTGATAGATTTGAAAGTTTTAGAAAAGTTTCTCTTTCCTGTTTGTCATTTTCATATCCCTCTGACTCGTATTCCTAAGCCGAATTGTATTCCAGAACACAGTAGTAGCAGGCCCCTTGACATCCCCATACCTGAGCTTATAGATAGCTATTATTTTGCATCTCTGTACGTGGAAACTAAGAACAAGGGAAATGGATTGTTTTCCTTTCTCACTTGTATCCTTTCCTCCTCTTTCCCCCACGCCGTATTAACAGGCGCTGGGTGCTGCAGCAGTTAAGTCAGGAAACTTCCTTGCCTTCTTCTGTGGCCAAAGGAAACTTAGGAACAGGAACAGTTCCTGCAGAGAGGACACAGCGAATACTACAGGAAGAAATGGAAGTCTGTGGTGAGGCAGCAGGAAGATATCCCAGCAACTATAATGCCTGGTCCCATCGCATCTGGGTTTTACAGAATGTGGCCAAGCTGGATCTCAAGGTAGGACTGTTATTCTTTCCCCATGGCTAACCCTGACAGTCCACCCTTTAGATCTTTGTAATAATTTATCCCTGAAAGTCATGTTCCAGCAGCCCCAGAGGATCTAGAAAGTTTTGTTTTCCAGAGAAATCCTCATAATTACAGAAGGGTTTACATTCCCCACTGGTGGAGCTTAGGATGCTGGTAAGGGAAATACATTGCTAGACCAAAAGCATACAGAGTCAAATAGGAAGAGTCAGTACAACTCATTAAGATTATTAAGCTGCTTATATTTGAAATTATTCCTGATGTTCTCTAGATACATGTCAGTGAGTTGAATCTACAGGCAACTTTATATCCTTGACTTTTAAAAAGGAAAGGAGAGGGCAGGGATAGACTTGGCAGAACCTGTAACTCACCCTGGGATTCCTGAGGTCCTCCTCAGGCCTATGACGTCAGAATGACAGTAGGATCCGTACATAAGGTCTTTTCCGTAGGTTCAGCCATGGTTCTCCCAGCCTGTCTTTTCTTTTTTTCTTTAGAAATGGGGAGGGGGAGTATTTTTCTAGAATGTTTTGAGGCTTAGCCTTCATCCCAGTTGAATCAGTTGGGACATATAGTTCTCATTCATCAGAGGGATAGCCCAGTAGCCCCCCAAGTTCCTTTCTCTGTTACAAAATCATCGCCATTTTTCCTTTACTGTTTATGGTATTAGGATTCCATAAGAATATTTGGTGCTGTTCTAAAAGCTGCCCAGGGTTGAGGCAATGAAAAGAGGTGAAGTTGAAGGTCCGCAGGCCCAGTGGTGATTTAAGTTTCCGGAGAGCCTCCTTCAGTTGTGACCCATCAGCAGCGTCCTCTTCTCTTCCCAGTTCCCCTTTCCTCCTGTGTCCTAGTGAGGAATCCTCCAGGGTAAATGCAGTTGTCACTTATAGGGGGATTCAAGCCAACTCTTAGAGAGAAGTAGACATCTCCTTTTCTGTTCACACAGCAGAGTTTCGGGGAGCAGGGGAGGTCCCCAAAGGAGTTGGCAGAGCAGAGGCTTAGAGTCAGATCAGCCTGAGTTCCTATTTGAGCCCTACATGGAAAGTAACTCTTTGAGATTTTACTTTTAAAATAAGGTCTCTATTGTCTGCCTTGAGGCCAGTGTGAGGATTGCCTGAGTTACTATGCTGTGAGTACTGGGTTTCTTTCTCTGTCCTCCCACCAGTAAAAGGGGAAATGAGCAGCTAGTGTGCTGGGTTGGCTCTGTGTGCTGTATTCATGAGAAATGCGCTAGCTGTCATTTAGCTGTCATTCCTAGCTGCTGCGCTGGGTCCTGGGCTGGCGGTAAGGATCTCGAGCCTCACCATCCTGGAGCTCTAGTGGAGAGAGCCACCCACAGTTAGTCAGCAAGTGGGGTAACCCTTGGAGGGTTGGGGGCACCACGAAAAGATGTGTCAGGGATATGGAGTACTGCGGCTCCTCCCATGGCTCCTCCCGCTGCTCTATAGCATGATGCGGGGGGCTCTGAGGGAGAACTGGCCAGTGACATGAAATGTTCCTGGAAACCTTCCTGCTGACCCCAGATCCTTTCAAGGCACATCCTCATAATATCAGAGACACGGGTAAAATTCCTGGTTGAGACCATCTTATGTTAAATATATAGCTAATTGATGAGGTTTTGACTCAACGGCCTGGATCTCCTTCTGAGCTCATGTCACCCCTCCCTGAGCTGCCCTTAGGAGAACATGTGGGCCTTCCCATCACCAGCACCATTGCACTTGCGTTTCTTCCCCTTTTCTGTTTTTAGTAAAATGTACTGAATTTTTTATTTTTTAACCCTCTTTCTGTTGTTATAAGCCTTTAGGTCCAGCTGGGACATGTTCTGTGCCTTAAGTACTTAACCAAAGCACCAATTGTCTAGACTAACTTAGAAAAGTGTGTAAGTTTGAGTGTGATGGTGCACACTTGTAATCATAGCTACTCAGAAGCTTGGGCAGGAAAAGCACACATGATGCAGTCTGGGCTACATAGCGAGTTTAAAGGTGATATAAATGGGGACCTTAGTGAAATCTCATCTCAATAGAAGTGAGTGGGTTAGAGAAGAGATAGCTGAGTAGATCAGCACCAGTCTCAAACACTAGTTCAGGGAGGGGGCATTTTAAAAGGAAAGTAGATAAAATGGTCTAGCGTTATTTCAAGGGTAGACAGTTGAAAATAGAATCTTAAAGTGCGAGATATCCAGTACAGGCGAGAAGATGGCACTGCACCCTGTGGTCTTAATAAAAGGCCACAGGATCGCATTTAGATTTTAAAGTAGGTAGAGTCGTGCTGGTTGTGTTTCTGGACATCATCTTAAAGAAACAGTAGCGGAGATAATGTGTATGGTATGGTAATTAAAGGTGCTAATCAGTGGTCATACAGACCTAATTTTTATTCTAACTGTTCTACCAATTTGCTATGTAGCCTAAAGGAAGCTACCCAGCCTCTCTAACCACATTTCCCTGCCTGTGGGAGGAGTATGATGATAATTCCTCAGCAGCTGTCCAGTGGAGTGATGTACATTGAACAGGAGGATCCACATAGAGTGGTAGTCATCGTGTTCTTCCCTGCTACTCAGTAAACACTGCCATTAAATATGAAAGCATTTATAATTATAAAAATTAGAAAGGCTTGCTCGCTGAAGTGAGGGAGTCATTAATATTACAGTCCATCATAAGATGGAGTATTTTAGTCTACTTAAGATCATACTTTATTAGATTATTTAAACAAAAATGTTTACAGTAGGTTATTGGCATAAAAGTAAATATAGTGTAGACTTTACACAGTTTTAGGATGTTGGCGTTTAATGAAACAAAAATACTTTTGAGTGGTTGGACAGAGTCTGGAATGTAATTAATGTTTCCCAGGTGTTCATCTGTACACACAGTGTTGCTATGGTTTGGTTTTTTGTTTCTTTGTTTTTAGTAAATAAGCATAATAGTGTTTTGGTCTGAAGATAAGTCAGAGAGTAACAGATGATTAATGGTGTATGGGATAGAAGCATGATGTTTCACTTTATGTTTTATGTTTCTGTGTTTAAATAAGGATACTTGTGTGTTTAATAATTTTAAAAATTATTTTTGAAGGAGAATATAATAGTATAAATGAACAAAATTTATTGTGACTAGCCAATTAAAAGTTGATTATCATTTAACTGAGAAAATAGAGATGTATAAATGTCTGATAAAGACACAAAAGACATTTGACATCATTAACAAAGGAAAAATGCACATCATAGCCACGATGAGTGAATCACTGCTTCATACTAACTAGAATGGTAATAATAATGGCAGATAGTAGCAAATGTCACTGAGGATAGAAGGGGCCCATAATATGGCTAATAGGAATGTAATCTAGGGCCAACACTTTGGAAAACACCTTAACATGAGAAAGAGAGAAAACCATAGGCTTACTGTATATAGGAGGGGCCAGGTAGAATTAAAACCAATAGATTGTATTCTTGGGAGGAAAAGAATGGCTATTAATGCTCCCACCACCCTATTATGGAAAATTGGAGGCATGTTCATACTAAATCCTGAGTGAGAATGTTTATAGCCTCAAACTGTTGACTATTCAAATGTGTACCATGTGAGAAAAGGAAAATCAAAGTGCCTTGATAAAAATGCACTCTTAACCATAATAATGGAATGAGATATTGGAATGCTCTGTGATGTAGATGAATCTCAAAACAATTAAAAGTAATCAGATTCCAAATCATACCATATCATTTCATTGTCCTAGTAAGTTCAGATAGCCAAAGATTATTGAGTGCCAGAGACTAGGGAGGGAATGGGAAGTGAATCCCCATTTATGCAGGGGCATGTATGTAAAAGCATTTGAAATTAGCAAAAATGTCTACACAGTTCTGATTATACTAAAATATTGATTTATTTATCAATTTCAAAGCTTGGTTTTGAAGTTGATTAGAAAATAACTAAGAAATTTAACAGACACTATGCCATTATATATTTAACTATGTCAAATACTTAAAACATAGAATGCTTCAAAAATAGACTAGGTAATGATAAAAATATATAAACTCCAGAAATAAATCATATATATATATATATAATTATGTAAAGGTTCCATTAATAACCATTAAATATGGCATGCCACATAGAAGAAAAGAATCTTTTCTCAGCTTGTGATTACTAGAAAAAGTTGACTTTTTAAAAAATAATTTAGATTTGTTTATATATAAACTGAATTGTAAATGGATTTTTTTAATATGAGAAGAAAATAGAGACCTAGGTAAAATAAACCATGTAAATATTGTATGATTTCACTTTTATGTGGAATGTAAAAAGTTTGAATTGTTTGGAAGCAGGGTAGAGTGGCAGTTGGAAAGTTGAGGGTGGGATAAAGACAGGAAGCAGCTGGTCACAGTTAGAGAGCTACAGTTAGGAAGAGTGAATAAGCCCCAGAGATCTCACTCAGCGTAGTGACCACAAGTCTGATAGCGTATGTAGGGTCCGAAGTGTGTGCTCAGTGGTTAAGAGCACTCACTGCTCTAGCAGAGGACTGGAGTTTGGTCCCCGCACCCACGTAGTGACTCACAGCTGCCTCTGATACCATTCCTGGGACCCTGACACACTCTTCTGACCTCCCCACCACAGAGCACACACTTGGTGGGCATACATACACTCTGACACAAGCATAAGTGCAGACTTGACCCCAACCCCATCCAACAGGTAAGCTAAAAATTTCTAAATTTCTAAAAATGATTGGGCATGCACATAGTTGTATGTGTAAGAATGTCACTCCTCTGTGAATAGAAACGGGCATAGCTGAGCACTCGTCCTGAGGATGGGAGGCTGAGCAATGGTGCAGTACTGAAAGGCGCTCTTGTAGAAGGCACAGCACTGTGGCGGTGACCTGTCAGCTGCCTTTCTTGTTATTGTGACCAGACACCTGACAAGAAGAGGCATGTGGGAGGAGGGTTTTACTCATAGTTCTAAGGGCGTATAGTCCATCATGGAGGAGAAAGCATGGCAGCA